CTTAGTAAGAAAGGGTCCAAGACACCCAGCCAAGATGGAGGGATTTAAGCTAGGATAATAACCAAAAATGAAACAAAATCACAGAACTGTATCAAATTGACCAGCAACAAAGTCACCTGGATGCTGAAAATGTGTTGTCTCTTAAAGAAAAGACAAAGTTCAGGCAAGCAAACAAACACAGAAACTAGATCAGGGGTAGGCAACCTTGGCTCTTTTATGACTCGTGGACTGTTGTGAAAAACAACACAGCTTCTAGAGGAGGGCCAGGCAAATTTTGTGGGTGGATGTACATATTAGGAATGTTAAGAGCATGTTCTGCCCACTCTTATAAAACAAGAAAATTAAAAAGATACCAATGGAAAGATGTTCCCAGCCATTTCCTGTAACACTCCAGCATGCTTTTTAATCACCCCCAGATTTTCTTTGAATTTTTTTTCTGGGCAGCTGGGCATATATCCAAATAAAGCATTGGATTACAATTCCTCACCTTTTTTTAAAGAGTTATTGTAGTATATTTTAAGCCAGAAGTGTTTTTAAAAGACTGGCATTTTCTTGTGTACCATGCCAGCTGCCCATTCATTTTTTAAAATAAAATAAATTAGGGGGGAAAAAGCAATATTAGGTGGTACAAACAATAAAAACCTGATGGACACTAAGAGTGACTCCATATTGCCTGCCCCTAGCAGAATAATAAGTAAATCAAGACAATCCACAGTGATACACATTTTAAAATTTCATTAAGTACAATGTAATTGGAACAGAGGAAAAAATAGTAATTTGGATAATTAATCATCCATATTAAAAAAAAACCAACCCTCCAGATTTACTGGCTTTCAAATGAAGTAACCATTATGAACGAAGCAAATATAAGTGTCCCGGGATAATGTTGAAGGATCCAATCTGGGTCGGTCCCTGGGACCAGAGGTTCAGTCTTCCGAGCTTTTGGACTCATGCTGGTGCCCATCCTCAAGGAACTTCTCTACCAGAATGTGACACATTACTGTACTGTAACACATTCTGGTAAGAGAGAAGTTCCCTGAAGATGGGCACCACCATGAGTCATAAAGCTCGGAAAACTGAACGTCTGGTCCCAGTGACCAACTCAGATTGGAATTGACCATGATGCATACGGGATCAAGTACAATAGGATTTAAACACTTTTAAAAAGTTATTTATATAACTGAATTCTGTTGGCATATATAAATGCTGTATTATCAATCTGATATATTTTAAAGGTTTTGTGGTAGTTGAATGAACAAAATTACCATCAACATTTGTTAAAAGAAATGTTGAATAATGTTGAAATATTACATTCTCTAATATATATGCCTATTCATAAACAGTTACAAAGCTTCTTTACATAACTAAAAATATTATCCTATGACCAACCCTATGTTGACCTCAGATGAATATGCTTATAATCATACAGAGGGTTTCACAGAAGCAGGCTAAGTTCTGTAAAAACAAATGTTATTTGTTGTAGATTATGAAATAATTGATGATATCACCTTTCTAAATTTGTTTTTACACCCTATGCTTTCTCTTTCAAAGTTAATTATGAAATTAAGTCTAGAAATGCATGAGTTTCCTGTTATTTTGAATTTCAGAAATGGAATGCACAAGTAGGTGCTGTCAACGCTAACATCAAATGTTTGTGGATTGACAACAGATGGAAATGTAGCCATCTTTCACCTTTTGCTTTTAGAGTTAGATGATGCTGGGAGGGGGGATGTGAAGGAGAGTCCAGCTAGACATAACAACACTAAACCTAGTGTGAGAAACAAGGTTATTGTAACCAGAGCTGATAAGGAATTGGCGGCTAGAGAACTGGAGAGGAGGCCCACACTTCAAGCTAATTGGGGAATGTGATTTATGACTGTTAATTGGAGGAGAGAATTGTGCTTTGATACTATGTGCTCAGGGGAGGGGAATTCAGTTTTTGGCTTCGATTATGCAGTGCCGATATTATGCTACTCAAAATAAAGATTCTTTAAGGTAAACAATGCCTTGAAGTTCTTTTGAAGAGTTTCATCTGTCGGAACCATACAGCTACTGTATAGGATTATATAATGCAGCTTTCTATAATACAGTATGGTGTCTTTCAAGGATTGAACTAATATCCCGGTATGATCAAAGGCCATGCTGGCAGAGTATTATGGAAGTTGAATCTAACTCCTCTGCAGGGTATCAGGATGGGGAAAGCCAATATAATGCACTAGAGAGCATAAACCCATTGTTTCATTTTTCCAATGTATAATTCACAGCTGATGATTTTTGAAACTTCCATTTTTAGCAGAACTTAGAGATTTGAGAATAGTGCTCTAAATATGACATCTAAAATCAGAAGGCACTAAATTATTATTTGCTGTGGGTGTTTTGCTAAAAACCAAATTTGCTTCACATTTTCAAGCTAAAGAGAGCCATGTTGACCTTCTTCTAGCCTAGCTCATGACAAAATTCCTGATTTCTTTTTTTAAAAAAAACACCCTATAGTGGCAGCACTTGTGAAATACTTGTCAGATTGCTGTGATAAGATTTCATAAAATCTTAAACCTGTAAGGTAATCCAGAACATTGTTTGGCAACACAGTATGAGAATCTTGGGATAGGCAACTTGTGACACTTCATGTTCTTTTTGCATCTATTCCCTTTGGCCACATGGGGCTGCTGAAAACTATACTTCAGCACAAGCCAACAGGTTATCCAGATGTGAATAAAATTGTATGGAATATGACAACTGTGGGAGGTTGGAAGCATGATATCCTTCCTCTTCATTTTCCTAACATGGGTGCTATTGTTTCAAATAATAGTTTACACATACATAGAATACCCTATTTGGAAGGTAAAGTCAGAGGACAGCCTTTTCCAACCTAGACAACTGCCAAATATGTTCAGTTCTCAGATTGTCTGTTCCACATCTCTGGAGAGGAGACAATTTGTGGTAGTTTGGCTGAGATGATCTGGAGAATAATGACTTAGTGCAGTGGTTCTCAACCTTTTTAATGCCGCGACCCCAACCGGTCGTAAGTCGAGGACTAAACCGGTCGTAAGTCGAGGACTAAACCGGTCGTAAGTCAAGGACTAAACTGGTTGTAAGTCGAGGACTACCCAACCGGTCGTAAGTCGAGGACTTTCCCTGCCCGGGAGCGCCGCACATGCGTGGTTCCGCCCCCTGCGCCGGCCGAGGAGTAGCTGGCAAGCGGCAGAGACAGAGCAGGCCGACCACCAGCTGGCCCAGCCCAAGGGAGGTAAGGCACCCGCCGGAAAAGGGGGAAAAGTGGCGGACAAAAAAATGGTGGACAGCCTTGCTTGGTGACCCCCATGAAATGGTCGATCGACCCCAAATGGGGTCCCGACCCACAGGTTGAGAACCACTGACTTAGTGACAAATTCACGTGGGGTCAATGGAGGACAGTCAAGTCAAAGGATTCTGGACATCCCAATCCTCCATCACTGAAACAGCATACAGCATACAGAATGACTGTATGCTGTTACGATTTTTTTTTACTAAGAACCTTTTATAAATGAAAGATCGCAACTTTGAATCTTTTGCCACTCATTAGTAAACCACTGATTTCATCAGTAAAATTCAGAGAGTTTTCAACTTCCTATTCAATTAGTTTAAAACAGGCATGTCAAACTGCTGGCCCGCGGGCTGGATGCGTCACAACGAAACCACCCCACCACATTACCGACAATGGGGGAAAAGTCACGATATGTCGCGCGATGTCACGTGACATCGCGAGTTTGACATGCCTGGTTTAAAACATAAACAATCTTGTTTTATTTTTTTCCTATTATTTCTAAGTATGTTTTGATCAAGGGCAGATCATTCTATTTCTGAAATGAAATACATTTCTTAATAAAGCACTTAACTAAAGAAAGCCAGGTAAGAACTAATAATAATAATAAAGTTGGAAGGGACCTTGGAGGCCATTTAGTCCAATCCCCTGCTCAGGCAGGAAACCCTATACCATTTCAGACAAATGGCTGATTTATAAATGCTGACTGAACTACAAATAATATCTGATTATGTGGAACACCTTGAAAACGTGTATTAGAGGGATAAAAATAATTCACATTACTAAAAGTATCATCTCATATCAATATGTTCTGCAGACACAGTGCAATGCACCCATTTAGTTAAGAGAATATGAACTGCATTTCTGAATTTGTTTTTAAAGCCACTATATGAGCAACAAAAACAAAAAATCCTATGTGAATGTCAATATTCAATACAGGCCTATGACAATATACTTAAGAGCTGCTTTAGCAAAATCAATGCACCATGTGTAGGGGAGTGTAGGTTCTAGCAGAGTGGAAATTTAAGGTTTCTAGGACTAATATGCATTGCTCTCAACATTTGAAACCAATATATTGAGAATTCTGAGTGCCCTAACACCTGGAAGACGCTCAATTACAGAAGTTGATTTCCTATACTTTTTCTATTTGTCATCTAACACAATGAATGTGACAACTCTCCTGTTGATGGAAAAGTCATCTAACTGGCCATCTGAAACTTAGTGCTTATGTACATTATCTTGATGGTAGGTACTATTTTATAATCTATTGATTATTAATTGGTCTTCAGCATTAAAATCTTTTTTCTGGATAGAATGTTGTTAAGAGAAATATACCCCTCTCCAGGAAAAATTAAAAACACAAAGAAAATACAGAAGGGGAACTGTGTAATGAGGGAATTGTGTGGATGGCCAGTAAAAAGATAAGTGAACAAAATATAGGAATGCCACAATGTAATTAGGGAAGAAGTCTAGTGATTAAATTCACACTATGAAGTATGGTTGACAAGATTTGCTGAGGTAAGAAAAACATCAGTTTGCAAATCACAACTTGCTTATTCATACATTGTCTTACTTCGTATCTTGATAGCAGTTCTCCAGAATACATTGTATTTCTAAGTGCTTCATTTAAAAAGAGAGAGAGAGAGAGAAGAAATACCATCCTTATACAGCATTACAGACAACATTCAAACCTGAGCATTCATGTATTAAACACGCAATTTTCAGATGCATTTTCTGCCTGAAGTCCCTGGACAGCATTATCCAGCAAATCCATGCTATCTCGAAGTGTGACACTGAGTGTAAATGGCTTTGGTTTAACAGTCAGGCCATAGGTGAAGTCCATCTTAGAATCTTCCTTTGGATTAGCACTGAAATTGCACTGGTGGACCAAGACAGCAGTAAAGAGAAAGAGCTGCACTTTGGATAACTCCTCCCCAATGCACCTTCGTTTGCCCACTGAAAAAATCAGCACGCTGCTAGCAAGGTCCTTGTTCAGGAATCCATTCTCATCCAGGAACCTTGCTGGATTGAAAACTTCTGGAGCAGGCCATTTCCCTGGGTCATGGTTCACGGACCACTGATTGATGAAGACCACTGTGTCTTTGGGTATGTGGTAGCCCATCAAGATGGTATCGGCTGTGGTGGAATGAGGGATGGTAACTGGCACAAAGCTGCTGAAGCGCATAGATTCATATAGGAAAGCCATGACAGAAGGCAAAAGGGGCTGATCCTCAGCACAGGGCAGGCGGTTTCGGCCAACAACTTTGTCTATTTCTTCTTGCAGCTTAGTTTGCACCTCTGGATACCTGGTTAAAAACAACAGCAGCAGCTGTTTTTAAAACGCTTTCCTCAATTCTCTGAAAGCAAATATTATCTATTCTAGGCAAACCTATGCTACTAGAAACACAGGAAGACAATATCAGGTGAGGGGGCACAAGTGGCAGGAAAAGAGAATATATATACATATTTCCCAAATGAGTAGAAAATTTGTATCATTCTCCAATAGTTTTACAGATGGACAAATATATTATGTTGAAAATCATGGCATACAAGGAACTGCCCAACCACTCCATTCCCAACAATTTTATACAATTCTAACAGATAATATATGACAATAGGCAAGTTAAAGAAAAGATAGCCAAATATCTATTCTTTAAATCAATGCCCGCTGTAATATTTTGATTGAATTTGACTGAAACAGGACTCATAACTCATAAACTCTTGCTTTGCCTACTGAAAGTTTATTCTTTAGGTTTTTATCCTGTCTTTATTACTTTATAACAAGTAAGGTGGCAAACACACCTAGCACTCCTTCCTTCTCTTATTTTACCCACAACAACCTTGTGAGGTGAATTGGACTAAAAGTGAGACTGGCCCAAAGTACCCAGTCAGCTTTCATCTTCACAGTGATAAAATTTCTTCTGTCGACTGCAAAAGATCAGAACACTTGGATCCACAAATATACTATGCTGATACATTATGAAATCCTTGGTTCTTGGGAAGAACTCGATGCATATGAAGGCCAACACCAGATAAAAAACTGGCAGCTATGACTCCACATTGTTGTGAACATATATTAATAATGCCCACTAGAAATCCAGACTCTTGAACAAAATTGGGGAAAAAATGAAAAAGTACTTAATTAAGATCTGTCATCATTACGCTTATTTTTTAATACTAACTCTGGTTATAATCAGTTGTGAAGATTTTGACAGTTTTGAGGATTATTATTTCTAAGTGTTCTGATTTTCTCTTATGATCTTCTTGATTATTTTATACTGCCGTGTATCCATCTGGAGGGGCAGTATTTAAATTAAAAATATACATTAAAAGATGCAAGAGATTTATTTGTCATCTACTCAGAGCATTACAATCGTCAGTTGATTTTTCTTAACCAAACCGAAGATCCAAGGAAGAGCTATTATTTGTTTCAAAAAATGATCTCTAGAGAATACAAGTTTCATTGGAGATACATATTAATGAAGAGCAAACCATGGAAAATCCATTCTTTTTCCTGACTTGATAACTTGATAACTGCAAGGGTCCACGTTTCAAATAGAAATTATCAGTATCTCATAACCTTTTCTTTCTACAATCTGGCGAGGGAGGGAGAGAGAGAGAGAGAGATGCAAACAAACAACATTCATTAAAAATAATTGCCACGTGAGCAGCTGAAATATTTATCATCCAAGATTATATCAGCCTGCAACAGTGTTGACTAATATTAAATTGCTTAATTTACTTACAATACTGAAATATTCTCTGGTACATGTGAAGATATAAAAAGCTTGTTTAAATTATTAATCCTTGGCCACTTTGATCTAGAGGTTAAGACTCTAGATCAATCAGGCTAGAAAGGGGGAGATTGAGAGTTCTAGTCCTGCCTTGGGCATGAAAGCCAGATGGGTAACTTTGGGCCAATCTCTCTGTCTCAGCCCAATCCACCTCACAGGGTTGTTGTAGTAGAAAAAATAGGAGGAGGAATATGTGTTAGATATGTTTGCCACCTTGAGTTATTTGTAAAAATAATAAAGACGGGATACAAATAAATAAATAAGCCTAGTCTTTTGCTTTCACAAATGGAGCTCTGATCCTCCATGAGATAAAATTCTACTAGGAGAGGGAGTAGGAAGGAGACAGAATTTGCCCATGTTTCCTTTGTCCCCATTCCCCCCCCCTCCCCACATTTGCTCCAAATAATTCAGAAATCCTAAGACTATCTGAGCAGGTGGTGTGGAAATAAACGGGAAACTTAAGTGTTTGCTTAGCACCAGTGCAGGTTAGATGTCAGATTTGTGTGATATCACCCCCTCTTTTTTTAAAAAAAATAAATAAATATTGCATAACCTTGCAAGGCTGAAAAATCTCTCAAAATGTCAGTCTTCTTACTAAATTTTCAGCAACTTTTTGGGCTGTCTAGAATTCACAGCATAGCTCAAATGCAGACCCCACAGGGGAGATATACTTAATGCACGTTTAAAATAATAATAATAATAATAATAATAATAATAATAATAATAATAATAATAATAATAATAATAATAATAATAATAATAATAATAATAATAATAATAATAATAATAGTGACGATAAAGTTGGAAGGGACCTCGGAGGTCATCTAGTCCAACCTCCTGCTCAGGCAGACATAGTGGTGTCCAAATCGGGATCACGGTTGGGATTGTGGGCATGAATCGTGGCCCTAACGCATTCAAAGAGGATAAAATTCCTCCCTCGATTTTTCATTTTTATTTTTGACTGCTTTCGATAGATGTTAGACTTTAGACCAGCTCAGTTCTGTCCCTTGGAGCGTTTTTTTTTTATTGATCTTTCTTATATTGGTACCTAACCTTTCCAACCGCGCGGGTGCCGCGCACAACAGCTCCTCCAGTCATCCTCTGTCGCCAATCAGCTCACCTGGTGAGGAAGATCAAGAGCCACTGCAGGGCGGTCGAGAGAGTGTCCTGGCTGGCGCCGAAGATGTCCGTGACGGTGGCCGGCACGTGCTCCAGAGGCAAGCCAGGCTGCGTTTGCTGGAGGCGGATGAAGGCGTCCATCAGGTCGCGGGAGGGATCTCCCGGGCGGAGACTGTTCCGATGCCCCAGAAACTTCTGGCGGACGAAGCTGTAGAACTCGTGATTGAGGGCGCGGAAAGCGCGGAAGGCCGAGCGCACCGGGTTGGGAAAGCGCTGCAGCCAGGGCAGCACGTCGACCACGCTCCCGGCGCCCACCGTGCGCCCGAACTGCTCGTTCCGACCCACCAGCCGCCGGAACTCGACGTCGGCGTGGCTGTAGCGGCGGCCGAAACAAAGCGCGCTCATGACGTTAGCCACGGCCACCCCCAGGCTCCTGGACGGATCTACGAAGGCGCCGCCGGCGCAAGCGCTCACCAGGAGCCGCACCACCGTGCGCGCCTCAGCCAGCAAGGGCCGCTCCAGGAGGCGGCGCGCCGAGAAAGCGCGCAAGGTCGAGTGCGCCAAGCGCCTCTGCAGTTTCCACAGCTCAGAGTAGCCGCCGAAGGCCAAGCTGCGCCCTCCGGATACCAGCTGAAAGGAAGGGAAAGGAGGCCTGCCCGCGAAGGCGGCCCCTTGGCGGATGAGGGCCTCGCGGATGGCGCGCTCGCCGTTCAACACCACCACCGGCCATCGGCCCAGGCGCAGCTGGAAAACGCTGCCGTAGATGGCCGCCAGGCGTCCGAAAGCTAGGTGAGGGGCGCGGCCCAGCTGAGCCGCGTTGCCCAGAAGGGGCCACGGGAAAGGGCCCGGCGGTCCCAGCCTCCTCCGTCGCGACCACTCGAAGGCCAGAAATTTCACCGCTTGGAAGGCGAGCAGCAGCGAGAGGAGCAGGAGCAGCAAGCCTTGCATCGGGGGCACGCCGGCCCGGAGCGCTTCTGCCAGCCCGCGAGGGCGCGCGCTGCGGAGAAAAGAGGCTGCCTTAGGAGCGCTTCTGGGGGTCAAAACTTAGATGCATTGCACCAGTGGTTTTCAGTGCCCGCTTGCAAATGCATAACATTTAGTGGTACCAGATATGAGCTGCGACATTATTGCATCGCATTAAAAATAATTTGACTCCACTTTGTGCACGTGATCTATCTGTATCCCAAAGAATTCCCCTCCCCCTCCCCGTGGGAAGATTCTCAGACTCTGAAGTTTAGAGTAAGGAGTCCACAGAACAGAATATAATTAGAGACTGTTAATAAACTGAAACATGTTGGCTTTCAATTATGTATTGTATGTTTCCAAAATCTATAATCTCACTCTTGCATTTTTCTGGTGGGTCGCATTAGTCGTTATGGATACTTAATAATAAATAAAGACAGCTGGGGCCTCCGTGGGTGGAGGGGAACGGTGCCCAAAAGGTCAAGGTGGGTGCAACATTTATCAAAAGGGGTGAGGCTTCAGTTGCACAGTAATAGCTGCCATTCTGACTTTTTGGATCATCACTACCCATGCCACAGAAAGAGGCTGGCTTATCTGTGAAGTTTGTGAATTTCTGTTTGGCTGTAGGAAGTGACTTTTCTTTCAGGTGCACAGGGCAAAATGCACTGGGTATCTAACTAAAAAGCTTTAGATCTTACTACAGCTTCATAAGAGCAACTCACTTGCATGCTAAAACTTTCCAGAAGGACAAGTGATACTTAAGGGGGACAGGATTTAACAGAAATACATACTATCTATATGCAGTAACATTCAACCATAGTGGAGGAGAACCATTGACTTTTAGAGCAGAGATTTCCAGGCAATGTTTCCAGTTTAGATTCCCAGTTCCATAGAGTTCTGCCAGAAAGTTAAAAGTTCAAGAACACTCTATAGGAACTTATATAGTGTTGAAGTGAGATTTTTCATATTTGTGCTACTCGATAAGCCACATCAGATAGAAAACAACAATAAAAAATACATAGCAGGAACAGGAAGATCTGAAGTTACTAGAGACAGTATCTTCATGTATAACAGCGAATTGCATCATCAACCAAAGGAAATCCTTCAGTGAAAAAGAAGCATCTGGACAGGATTTGATGTATATTTATATTAAAAGGTTCTCTTCTCTGGGATCACGTCACAAAATGAGAGCATCTCCTAAAGGGCTGAGTTCTCACAACATGCTAAGGTTCATTTGATTTATTCCTTGAGTTTGCTGAAACAAACGAACTATGCTACATGAATTGCATAGTAAGCTACAAACTAGTCAATAACTTTTTAGTCTAGTTAAGATGTATGACTTCAACTACAAAAGTAGTTCCATTGAACTTGTGGGGGATTCTACTAAGCTTGAATCTCATTATTAAATCTCTGTTCTAACTTGCTAATTTCAAAATAAATCAATAGATGATGGTGAACTACTTCCCTTCTCCCCCCAAATTAATGCCACTGGTTTGAGCTAATCTGAGCTGTTGTGTATGCAAAGTGTCTTGCAGGTTTTGTTTATGGTCATGACTTAGTGTCTTAGGATAAAGTGTAATGTTTCCAAGACCACCCACAAATGGGGATTTGGCTGGGAATCCAAGCAGCATTGTATCCATATTGCTTGTTGGCTCTTCATTTTCTTAACAAAAAGGTTGGGATGGATAAAAAAAATCAAGATAATCCTTAGGAAAGCCCTGGAGCTACATGTCTGAACTGCAAAAATACCACAAGACTATTAGATAGAGCAGAGAGATACAGAAAATGCTGAGCATTGCAATCTAGTGGTTTTCCAGATTTTTGCAGGCCAAATCACTTTTTTTTCTAGCTATATGAGATGTAGGCGAAGAACAGGGTAATCTACATATTGCCACACATTTCTGAATTATTGAGTGTAATAAAATTGTTATGTTTTACCTGTCTTCTTAATTAACTCATGCAATTAACTTGAGTAAAAAATATCCTGATCTGCAACCCAATTTAACCCATAGTTGAAGACAAAACCCACTGTTTCAATAGAATTTGGTCCTAAGTGAATCCACAAATATTTGAAAAAAGCACCCATTGACTTCAATAGAACTTTCCCCCCCATGTAACTGGTGAAGGATGCATCCTTTTATCTTGATACTAACCACTGGAGTTAATTGTTACATTCAAACTGATGTGAATAATTGTAACTTGGCAGTAACTGTTCAGCTGGATTTAGTCTCATCAGATAAAACGAGTAAGGAATCCAGCAATCCAGTCACTGAAAATAGAGGATGTAAAAGGATTGCTACAATTTATTCAGAAGTCTAATCAATAGTCAATGAAGCATACTTGTACATAAAAATGGGGAATTAAGCAACTTGGCAATATTTGGTGATGCACTGATCCACACTAACCCACCATGTTTTGGGTCAGTGTAGTTGTATAGTTACAGAAAATGGGTTAACCCTGATCGTACAGACAATGGCAAACCACTGTGAGAACAGAGTTAGAGTAAGAATCAGGTATTAGTTTCCAAGTTAAAGATGTGGAATATCTCAAGGTTTCGATGGCCATCCTAAAGTCAACTTTTTTAGAAACTGCTGATTGTAAATCACATGGAATTCACCTAAATTCCAATTATTATTATTTTTAAAAAAAAAGATTTTTAAATTGCCATTGTAAACGCAAAATTTGTAACTCAAAGAGACACTGGAAGACAACAGGCAGTTTAAGATTTCTCAGGAATGTTAACTGCTTGAGTTGTTATGGAGAAAAGGATTTGAAAGTTCCTTCCACATATTGCAAAAGGGATCTCTTTGCCTGGTTAAAAAAAAAGATAAAAGACTTTTCCTCCAATGGTATTATACCATAATGAAAGAAGACACCTGTATTTTGGAAAACTCTGCCAAGCTTGTACTTGATACTTTAATGACTGGTTCTAATTTCTATTTGAACAAATTAATTTTGCTTTATTGTATACTTCTGGTTTTTATTCCACTTTGTAAGCCGCCTGGAGTATTGGAATAATCAGAAAGTAAACAAACAAACAGCTTAGCTCATTTGATGTGCGTGGGTGGATAATGTCATCATCACCACGACTTTATTACAGGCTGACGTTAACCACAAAAGAACCTTAACTATCCCGTCCTAAAACTGAAGGGGATGGAGCTCTTTTCCGTCTCAGGACTAACCTGTTAATTAACGCCTCTCCCACATCTCTCTGGGTCATAATGCCTCCGTCCCACGATTGAGCTGTGCGCACAAGTGGTTGCGGTTCACGCGCTTGAGAAGGAGAGCAGCTTAAGGCCGTCGTCCGGGGCGGGGGCTGCCGGCGATCTACGCTGCTGCTGTTGCTGCCGTCGCTGCCACCGCCGCCGCCGCCTGTGAGAGACCCTGATCGGGCAAGGAGCCGGCTGATGTGCTTTGAGTTGCACCGGCCGCTCAGCTTAGCTCGGCGCCCGGCAAAACCTCTTGAGCTGCCGCGGCAGAGAAAGGTGAGGCGGGGAGAAAGAGAGAGAGAGAGAGAGAGAGAGAGAGAGAGAGAGAATAAAAGAGAGAGAGAATAAGAGAGAGAATAAAAGAGAGAGAGAATAAGAGAGAGAAAGAGAATAAGAGAGAGAGAATAAGAGAAAGAGAGAGAGGGAGAGAGAATAAGAGAGAAGAGAGAATAAAAGAGAGAGAATAAGAGAGTATAAGAGAGAGAAAGAGAATAAGAGAGAGAGAATAAGAAAGAGAGAGAGAAAAATAAAAGAGAGAGAGAATAAGAGAGAGAGAGAGAGAGAGAGAGAGAGATGTTTTTGGCGCGCTTAAAGTGGCCACGCTCCGTCTTGCATCGCGTCCCGAGTGACCAAGGCGAGCGATCCCAACACCGTCCAGCCAGCAAACGCTTGAGATGGCGGCAGGGAAAAGCCCTCCTCTTCTTATTATCCCTGGGGGCTGAAAAAAGTTTCTATCCTTCGAGTGTCACCTCCCCGTTGCGTGCAGAGTTGCATTGCGTGATCTGTTGATGGAAAGCCTCTGGCCATCCCCTCCCCTCCCCTCCCCTTCCCCGCATTAGATGCTTGCACACGCGAGATCCGAAGGGGGAAAAGGAGTCCAAGGAATTGCAGAGAGGGATGGGCGGGAGGCAAGCCAGTTTCGACCCTTCCCAGAACTGTTTTCAAATGCGTCCATTCTTTCCCCAGGTCTGGCTAGAAAAGGGTGCTTGCCTTCCATTATCCAGCTTCGTTTGGCCAGGTGAGATGGGAGTTTGGGGTAGATCTTGGGGGCATGGAAGCTAAGCAGCTTTGTTCGAACCTCCATAAAACTTTAGAGCTACAGGCAACTTAGAAAACTGGGAAAAGTCCCAGAAGAATTTAGTGGCAGACTATTTTTCTCTGTTACAGTCGCCATACAAATTGCCGGGATGTGTCCTTGAAAGCATCAGGAACACCATGCACCCAAACAAAATCTTGAAAGAATATTGGCTTGGGGGGGGTGGGGTCTGGGTTCCCCATGAAGCTATATTTTGAGTGGATTGTGCCCAGCCAAATTTCCTCAATGGTGGGTTCCCTTAGGGAAAAAAAACATAATTTCTGGGTTCATTGACAGGCAAAGCTGATACCATAGAAATTACATACAGCCAGCTTAACATTATGGCATCATGCAACGTGTGACTTCCTAGCCGAAGGATATCAGAGGCCGAGTCAGACCTTCTATCCTTTGTGAATGTTCTTATAGAAAAATGTCACCTAAGAAATCAGAAGCTCTCAGAAAACATACTCCGCTTGTATACAGTTTGATTTCTTTGTTTAGCCTACCATTGTCTAGATTGCAGCTTTTCCTCCTACCTCCCAAGGTCATTCTCAGATAGCAATAGCACTTAGGCTTATATACAGCAGTGTTTCTCAACCTTGACAATTTTAAGGCAGATTTCCTCTCACAGACCGGTACGCTCCCACAGAGCGGGCCTCCTCAGGGTGCCGTCGGCCAAGCAGTGTCGGCTGGCGACCCCC